GCCTGCCTCTGCCTCCTGGGTGTGCATCCCCATGCCCTGCTAGTTTTATTTAGAATTAATGCTAAGCAGCCTCTTTTTATAAGGCTGACACATACACTACTGAAAGGCAGGATGTGGTGAGAACTGGTCGACCTTACCCTTTCCTTTGAAGAAAGAAGAGGATGAAGGAACTTTCTATATATTAAACTCGCCCCTCTGGTGTAGGGGGAGAGCAGCCAGATGACAAAGGCAATCTTCAGCTCATAGTACAGGGGAAACCTAACAAGAAACAAAACACAGAAACCATCAGAAGGAAATACGGTAGGAAGCAAAACAGCAAAGACCGTGGAAACCACAAAACCACCGTATCTGTTTCCACGCGTGGAAGCTGCTGACGAGGGAACCAGCGCAGTGGAATGTACTGACGAGTCCACATCCTTAAATCATAGCCGGGTTGACCCAGGGCTGCAAGGATCCTTGCAGACCCTGTGCCCAGGCCAGCACCCGAACTAACTGCAGTGGCTTAGGAAGGATGGAATTACCATTTAGTCAGGGCAGCTAGGGACTGTCTCAGAAGTGTGTGATATACCTACAGACATTAGGGGACAACTTCCATCTGTTCCACGTGCACGCCAGTTTCAGAGGCAGACTGGAAACGAGCTAAGTGCCCATGTCTTTCCTGTGGGTGGAGTTACTTCCTCAGCCCTGGACCATGTGACTTGACTGGTCAACCCAAGTGAGTGTGACAGAGAGGACATAAGCCTTAGTTGCTCTCTGACACTCTCATCCAAGTCCCCCAACCTTTTGCTAAGGCTTCTGTCGTGGAAATGCTTCCTTCCTCAGCCTTGGTTCTGAAGGAAGACATTCATGGGGCTGAGCCCAGCAAGGATGCAGCCAAAGCCCTGCCCTGAGGTCACGTGAGCGCGACACTGAGGTCTGCTGTTCTAACCCACTGTGCTCTCGAGGGCTGCCACACGGAAAGCTAACGCACACAGTGTGAGGGGACCACGGGGACCCAAGTCTCAGTTTTTGTGGGAAGGCAGATAGGCAGGGGCCAGTGAGGAGTGACTACTGTGTAGTCGGCAAACCCTCTCATGGAGTGCATGGGCTCTCAGGATGGAAAAACAACAACAACAACAAAGCTATGATTGTGTGTGTGCATACAAGTGTGTATGATATACGGGTGGGTGCAAACACCAACGGCACACGTGTGGAGGTCCGTTCTCTCCATCCACCATGAGATCCAGACTGAACTCTGGTTGTAAGGCTTGTGTGGCCAGCACCTTTTTAGAATGGACCACCTGGTCAGCCCGCCCAACTTTTAACATCCAAAATTTTCTACATTTTTTTCAATAATGTGTATGAGCTATATTGAAATTAGAAAAAGAAAGTAGTTAAAACAAAACTGTGGGGGCTGGGGATGTAGCTCAGCTGGTAAAGGGTTTGCCTGCTAACGCATGAAGGTCTGGTCCCCAGCAAGGCCGTAACAAAATAACACACATGGTCGTTCACGCCTGTCATCCTAGCACTTAGAAGGTAGAGGCAGGAGGACCAAGAGTTCAAGGTCAGCCCTGGCTACAGTAGATCATGCCTCAGAACAGATGAATAAATAAGAAGGGAAGGAAAGAAGGACTTTGAGAAGCTCAAGGCCCCTCGAATGGTTAAGAATCTTTGTTTTGTCAGTTAAAAGCTAAGAGAAGCTGGGACACACCTTTGATTGAAGCACTCGGGAGGCAGAGGCAGGTGGATCTCTGAGTTCGAGGCCAGCCTGGGCTACAGAGTGAGTTCCAGGACAGCCAGGGCTACACAGAGAAACCTTGTCTTGAACTCTGCCTCCCTCCTGAAGCCAGGAGATAATTCTCCTCAGACATCTAATCCAAAATCCATAGGGGAAGGAATAGGGATAAAGGGAAGGGAAGGAAACATGTGGATGGATGTATGCTGTGTGTGTGTATGTGTGTGGTGTGTGTGTGTGTGTGTGTGTGTGTATGTGTGTGTGGTGTGTGTGTGTGTATGTGTGTGTGGGGTGTGTGTGTGTGTGTGTGTGTGTGTGTGATGCCTGTAGAGACCTGAATAGGGCATCAGGTGCCCTAGAGCTGCAGTTACAGGTAAGGGAGCCATTTCTCCAGCCTCAAGGAAAATATTTCAAGTGAGAATAGAAAAACGGAGGAGGGTAGGGTCTGGTTCAGAGTGGATGTTGAGCATGTAGGAAATCCTGGGTGAGGTGGTGGGGGAGGAAAAAAGAGAGAGAGAGAGAGAGAGGGTCTGGTTCAGAGTGGATGTTGAGCATGTAGGAAATCCTGGGTGAGGTGGTGGGGGAGGAAAGATAGAGAGAGGAAGAGGGCAGGGTGGGGGAAGAGAGGGAGAGAGAAAGAAGGAGAGAAAGGAGAAGTGGGGGGGGGAGAAGAAGGTAAGGTGGGGGAAGAGGGGGGGACAGAGGCAGGGGAGAGATAGATATTGATTTGAACCAACTCATAAATAAGGGGTTAAGAATGTTTAAGTCTGGCCAGGTATGGTGAGCCATGCACTTAATCCCAGTACTCAGGAGTCAGAGCCAGGCAGACCTCTGTAGGTTCGAGGCTACCCTGGTCCACAAGCCAATTTCAGACCAGCTAGAGTTACACAGTGAGACCATGTCCAAAAAAAAAAAAAGAAAGAAAGAAAGAAAGAAAAGAATATTGAAGTCTGAGTCTGAGGATATACACTTCTACAAATCTGTGTGATGGCATGATATAATGTTGTATGAGAATATGAGACCAGAAATGGTATAAAGCAGGTCCAAGAAGGAATAGAAAGGGATGGCCAGGTTCAAGTCAATACCACAGTCTGATGTATCTATCTACCTGTCTATCTATCTGGCTGGTTGTATTTAGTAGCTCAGGTAAAGAAAAGATAACTGGGTTAACTTCAGCTCCAGTCTATGACGCATGGGAAGAAACGGAAACACCGGCAAGGTCTCGGGTTTCCATGTTTAGAAAGGAGACTTCTCTAATGGCACGATTGGATGGAAAGGTACTCGGAAATACCCCGTGAGGAGACTCGAGTCCTTAAGTATGGGTTCTCTATAAACTGTGAGCTCCGTGAGGGAATGAACATGTTGTAATTACGCCTCATGGTGCTTTGCGGGAGCGGCCAGGGAGCTGCTGTCAAGTGGGTGGGTGTCCACGTGGCTGCTGACGCGGTGTAGCCTCAATGTTCGTGCTCAGAGCTGTCGGGCTGGGGAGGCAGGGAGGGAGGGCTAGGACCAGATGCTGCGGATTGGAGGGGAGTCGTTTCGGAAGCCGTCGAGAGAAAGTCTGAAGTCATGAGTGTGGAAAGCGGATGATGACAGCCAGGTTCTCTATTTTAAGACGCTGGTGGGAGTGGGGGGTGGGCAGGGATGAGCACAGTGAGCTGCCTTCCTGAGGGCGGGCTCCACGGGGAAGACAGAGAAAGGAAACGATGCTGGGTAATTAAGTCGCTTCATCTATTTCTCATGGTGAAAAGCAAGAGCAGGCTAAGAACTTGGGACACCCGAGAGCCCCTGAGTGCCCTAGCGTGGAGGAACTTACCATGCAAGTGTCTGATCGGCCACGGTTTCAATCACAGTATAGAGGGCAAAGACAATCCAGTACATCATCCAGCGGACCTGGAAGTCACAAAGGCATTCATGAAACACCTGTGCTACACGGTTTGTTGTGTATCAGCCTGGGTTATAGAGTGAGACCATGTTTTTAAAAAAGAGATTACTTATTCTGAGTAATTTTATATAAAGACACATGCATCTCTGGATATATACTACATTGGGGTCCAATGCAGAGGACGAAGGTCCAGTTTTCCACAGGTTTCATGTATGAGTTTTTGGGAGGACGACATCAAGTGTCTTTGAGATACCAGAGTCAACCACAAATCTCTGAGGTTTGATAGAATGTAACTCAGTACCGGAATCAAAGAACCACTTAATACACACATAAATAAAACAGTACAAGACACGACAGCATCTATTGCTCCATTGGTCTTTAGAATTTTGCATTTATCAGGGCTGCAAAGATGGCCCAGTGGTTAAGAGCGCTGGGTACTCTTCTAGAGGACCTGGGTTCAATTCCCAGCACCCACATGGCAGCTGACAACTGTCTGTAACCCCAGTTCCAGGGGATCTGACACCCTCACATAGACATTCATGAGGCAAAACAGCAATGCACAGAAAATAAAAATAAATATTAAATAAATAAAGTGGATTTAAAAAAAGGGTACAGTTAAAAAATTTGCATTTATCTAGGTGTGACAATGCATGTCTTTAATCTTAGTACCTGAGAGGTAGAGAAAGGTGGATCTCTCTGAGTTCGAGGACAACCTGGTCTAAATATCAAGCTCCAGGCCAGCTGAGACTACACAGTAAGACCTTGCCTCAAATACACAAAATTTTACATTCTTTATTTTTCCACGTACAAAAATTGTCCACAGATCAAAGAACTGTCACAGGACTGTTATGAGCCTTAATGACAAACCAATAAAACCAATCACTACGGGGACCTAGTCAGTGCCTTTCACCCCAATCCCACAGCAGCAGTTTGGGAAGTTTTGAGTCCCTGCCTGCTGAAGGAGGGCAGCCTAGCGAGCCCCTCACTCCCAGGAGAGTCTTTTGGCACTGCGTCCTTTCACAGGCAGAGGCTAGATTAGTTACTCTTAAACTCCCTCCCTCCCTCCCTCCCTCAGATTTATACCCTTTCTTCCATGTCAGCAGATATACTTTCTTTCAAGTAGGTTCAGTTTTTTTCTTTTCTTTGTTTGGTTGTCCTGCTCAACACTATAAGCAAATACGCGACCCCACACCAACCGCTGGGCTTGGGACTGCTAAGCACACAATATAGCAATAATGCCTTTAACCCTTATAACAACATTGGGTGTTGAGAAAGGCAATTGCTTCTGCCACAGGTAAGGGAATAGTGGCAGAGACGTAAAGGGCCTTTCTCAAGGTCACTTTGCAGGAGTGTGGATCCAGGCTGCCTGATTCTGGGATGGGCTAGTCAGCCGTACCCCACACAGAGGAAAACCTACCACTTCCCTCATTCTCATCCCCATCAGTGTCCTGATGAGCAGCTAGAATACTGTGCTATGTAAAAATAGTTTTAAATGGGTCACACTGTGGCATTTTCATACGTGTCTGAAATAAATCCTGTTCTAATAGATTCTTATTAACTACTTGGTTTTAAGATAGATGCTTGTTTGGCTATTTCTCAGACGACGGCAAGCTGTGACTCAAGGCCAGGGATGTAGTTAGTGGCGGAGTACTTGTCTATGATGTGTATACTACAAGCACCACAACAGTGCCCCTGGAACTGGAGGTACAGGTAGGCAATTGTGAGCTGCCACACGGGTATCAGAACTGAGCCCAGGTCCTCTCCAAGAGCAGCAAGTGCTCTTATCCACTGGGTCACCTCTCTGCCTCGAATGTAATTTTTTTTTTTTTTTAAAGAGGAAGAAAAGAGGTATTCCTTTGTAATTAAACTAAACTGTCACCAAACAGCAAACTATGTCATCAACAGTATATTCTAGACACTTCCCCCTGTGGCACTGAATAGTACTTTACTATTATTCATTTTTTTTTTCGGTCTCACTTTGTAGCCCAGTTTGGCTTCAAATATGTGACAATCCTCCTGCCTGGGCTTTTTGAGATTACATGAGTCATCATGCCTGGCACTGGCTATAATTTTATGCTGTGGCATGTTCTGTATGGCAAATGTGTTGCTCTGATTGGTTAATAAATAAAACACTGGTTGGCCAGTAGCCAGGCAGGAAGTATAGGCGGGACTAACAGAGAGGAGAATTGAGGGAAGAGGAAGGCAGGCAGAGAGACTGCAGCTGCTGCCAGGACAAGGAAGATGTAAGGTACCAGTAAGCCACAAGTCACATGGCAAAGTATAGATTAATAAAAATGGGCTGAATATAAAAATAAGAGCTAGACAATGATAGGCCTGAGCTAATGGCCAAGCAGTTTAAATAATATAAGTGTCTGTATGTTTATTTTATAAGTGGGCTAAGGGACTGCCGGGGATTGGCAGGACAGGAGAGAAAACTCTCAAGCTACAATTTTATATAAACAAAATCCTGGGGCTGGAGAGATGGCTCAGTGGTTAAGAGCATTGACTGCTCTCCTAAAGAACCTGGGTTCAATTCCCACACCCACATGGCAGCTCACAACTGTCTGTAACTCTAATTCCAGGGGATCCGACACCCTCACATAGACATACATGCAGGAAAAAAACACTAACACACTAAAAAAAAAAAATTCTATGGTTTAAATTATTCTTTTGTAAATAAATTCCTGACAATCTGCTCTCATGAATGTAAGGGTATTTTTCTTCTTATCAGAAATATGTAACTGAATTTAACAATAATTAAATGTCACTCAATGAGCATGTGCTGTTCATGGGGGCAACCACAGAGAAAGTTAACCTTGGAAATGTGTTACCTTACTTTAACAATAATGGATCTGGTTAGGATTTTACATGAAATGATGACTCAGCAGAGCTTTTATTAAAAACTGTGCCTCAAGGCCACCCAGCTTCTGTTTAAGGTTTTTCCCAGAGAAAATACCAGAAGCCAAGGTTAAAAACAAAACAAAACAAAACAAAAAAAAGAGCAGCTCATAAAATTGTAACTAAGGACATGTGAAGACAAAGACCTAAATAGTTTTCCTATCAGATGAAAATCCCAATAATAAAATGCAGCATTAGTATTAATATTAATGATTTCTGGGAAAATCATCAACCTTGACTGTCCTATGCACAAATACAGACCTAGACTGTCCTATACACGTACACAGACCTTGACTGTCCTATACACATACATAGACCCTTCTGTGTCTGTAGGGATTATCTCTCAAAACCTGCAAATACAAAGCCTACGGCCGCTAAGTCTCAGCTATACAGTGGCTTAGTATTTACCAGTAACCAATGCACATCCTGTTGTATACACTAAATCATCTCCGAATTATTCATGATATCTAACAGGGTGCAAGTCCTTCCCTCCTCTGCTCTGTCTTGAACTATTGATCCTTCTGCTGCAGCCTTACAAGGGCTGACATTCTAGGTGTGTGTTACCGCACCCAGCTCTATAATCACTTCTATATATCCCACTTACTGATCACAAAAGAAACAAACTTTATCTTTCATCCCTAAGAAATAAATTCTCTAACAAGACAGTATGTACTTCGATAAGCACTAAGTTGAACACACACACACACACACACACACACACACACACACACACACCCCACTTTGTCTGATCTTTCATATAAAACATAATGTAGTTAATTCTTAAGGACTGAGGTGCCATCATTAGCAATGACATGAACTGATACAACTGTATCCACTCTTACTACCTACTTGTCATGGGAAAAGACACAAGTTCGGGCTGGCGAAATGGCTCAGGAGATAAAGGAGCTCGCCATCAAGTCTGATGACCTTGAGTTCCATCCCCAGTATCCACAGGAGAGAAGTGACTCCTTCCTGTGGGTTGTCCTAACTGTCACATGTGCTCTGTGGCACAAAGAGGAACAAGTACACACATATGCACATAAACAAGTGAAATTAAAAAATGACAAGACCCAGGGCGGTGGTACACACCTTCAATCCCAGTACTCAAGAGGCAGAGGCAGGCTTATCTCTGTTGAGTTCAGGACCAGCCTGGTCTACAGAGCGAGTTCCAGGATAGCCAGGGCTACACAGAGAAACCTTGTCTTGTAAAACCAAAAAAAAAAAAAAAAAAAAATTTTTTTTTTTTTGAGAAAGAAGAAAAGACAACAAGAGACATGTAGCCGACAGCTTCAGCCCACAGGTTTTTAATATTTTAATGAGATGACAATGATATTGAAATTATGAGACTATCAATCAGATTAGAAAGACAAGAAGCATCAAAGGAAGGAGGTGGAAGAACGACTCCAGAGAAGCAGCATCCTCTGCTAGGATGAGGGGAAAGGAAGGAAACCTGGTGTGTGGGGAGGAGGGTGTGGGGTGTAGGGAACTGGGGAAGAGGGTGAAGGAGGTGAGCACTTCCTCTGCTCCAGCAGTCACAGGACAGGTCCTTTGTTAGGAGTGGCCTTTCATCGTTTTGAGAAGAACAAGAAAGATCTGGACAAGTTTTTTTTGTTCTTGTTTTTGTTTTTCCAAGACAGGGTTTCTCTGTGTAGCAGTTCTGGCTGTCCTGGAACTTGCTCTGTAGGCTGGCCTTGAACTCACAGAGATCCACCTGCCTCGGCCTTCTGAGTGCTGGGATTAAAGGTGTGTGCTACCTCGGCCTGGTTTAGAAAAGTTATCTTTATGGGTAGGAAAAGGTGTTGCCTCGGGAAGGCTGGTTCAGACTCTGACCCGTGATGCCTTCACCTGTGTGGAGTGTTAGACTAAGGGTCCAGTGAGATGACCAGGGCAAGGAAGGGGAGGCTTACAAAGGGCCTGGCTTCTCAGGTCCCCTTGCAGGTACTGGGGAGGGGGCCGAGTGTCCTGTTCTTACCCACAGAGTGTGAGCTGGAACAGTGGGTGTGTACCTACCACCAGGCTTCTCTTCTTCTTCCTGCTAGTTAGCCGGAGCAGAGCAGCCTTGGAGGCTATGTGTTGAAGGTGAGCAGAGTTCTTAAACAGTTGCAGGAGG